AATGACTGGTTTCTAAAATGATGCAGCTTCTAATCAGCCTTCTTTAGACCAACTGAATGACTGGTTTCTAAAATGATGCAGCTTCTAAACAGCCTTCTTTAGACCAACTGAATGACTGGTTTCTAAAATGATGCAGCTTCTAAACAGCCTTCTTTAGACCAACTGAATAAACTTACTCTCCGCACAACAAGAACATGACTTTCACTAGGACTGTACGTGAGGGTTTCGTTATATCCTTACTGATGTAATTTTTAAATGTAGTACTGAGAAACTGGAGTTCTTATAAAAACTATTATTTTTTCAATAAACGGTACCACTTTTAATATATAAAAACATTACAATTTATATCAGTAACATTTATGGAAATTTTGAGCTCTGTACATTTAATCATTTTGATGCAGTGAGTTGCTTTAGACTAAAGATGTCACTTTTCCCGTGCAGTACTTCCCAGAAGAAAAATCTTTTGTAGAAAGTGCTCAGTTTTTCTAAATTGTTTCCAATGAGGTATGAATAATACGTTTAATAATTACTAACACAAACAGCCATCTGTGTAGGGCAGTGTTTCTGCTAGTATATATAATGGGTAAAGAATCATGTTGCTACAACATTATTTTGTGGACAAAATTCTCAAAATATCAGGATTTACTGTTTGAATGTGTCCCCCCCCCCTTATTGAATTATTTCTATTAAAGATAATCAGAACACTATCTCTTTCCTACGTGTAGATTATATGTGAGAAGAAAGATGCTTTTGCTTCGGCCTGTGCCGTAGCTCGGGCTTATCCACTCTATAGCACCAAATCCAGTGGTATGTCTACGTCACATAATGTAATGGTGGAGTTTTTACTTGTTGATGATGAAAGCTTGAATGAAACAGATCTTCGGTGTTTGACTGTTGCAGCTGAAGGCGTTCAACTCGCTGCTCGTATAGTGGACACACCATGTAGTGAGATGAACACGACAGCTTTTCTTAAGGTTTGTATTAAACAATATTGGTAATGGACACACCCTGTAGTGAGATGAACACGACAGCTTTTCTTAAGGTTTGTATTAAACAATATTGGTAGTGGACACACCCTGTAGTGAGAATGAACACGACAGCTTTTCTTAAGGTTTGTATTAAACAATATTGGTAGTGGACACACCCTGTAGTGAGATGAACATGACAGCTTTTCTTAAGGTTTGTATTGAACAATATTGGTAGTGGATACAACAGCATTTGTTATAGTTTGTATTGTACAGTATTTTATAGTTTATATTTACTGAATAACAAAAGAGTTGATAAACCTTGGTTGTATTTACTGAATAACAGAAGAGTTGATAAACCTTGGTTTGTATTTACTGAATAACAGAAGAGTTGATAAACCTTGGTTTGTATTCTTGTTGCTAGGAAATTGAAGAGGTTGGTGTTGCTTTAGGTATCAAACCAATGGTTATTCAAGGGCACGAGCTTGACCGAAAAGGATTTGGAGGTAAATTCACACCATCTGTTGTGTATGTGTGTAACTATTTAATAAGCCTGTGTTTTATTGTCAGCTCATTGAATCAGAGTGGAATTTAATAAAATGTTGCATGCATTTGCTGTCTGATTGTGAAATGACTATCAATATGAATTTGATCTTTTAGTTGCGAAGAAAAAAAAGAAATTACAACATCTCTGTGTTTCGATCATTTGTTACATCCCCATCCCACTCAAAATCGACTAATACCGATTATTATACACATTGTATAATTGTAACCTCTGATAAACTTTTGTTTAATCTTTCCGAGACTGAAAGATCGTCACTGATATCCCCTGTACCTTTCATTCCCATAGGGAAAATAATTAATTGATTTGTGTGTGTGAAACTTGATTGAAGCTTCCTAAATAGTTTCTAGGTTTGTGTGGAAAAAATTCCCAAAACTTGATATATTATTTTGTATACTTGTTTTAGGTGTGAAATGTCCAAAATTTCTTGTGAAACTGTTTTGAAAACAAAAAAACTTCCATTCATCTTCAATGTTTTATTTTATTTATTGATCAGAAAGTTCCATTTTTGTATATCCAGTCAGTTTATCTTGAAGAATATTCATCAGTTTTAAATTCTTTTGATACCTTATTTTGCCTAACAACATAAATCTCCACTGTAAATCATCCAATCAGAACAGGACTTATCATTGAACAATGACTTAACCTTTTAATATGGGAACACCATTATGTTGTCAGGCTCGGTTTTACCAACACGGTCGTTACTTCTAATAATTATTGTATATTTTCAGTACATAATAATTTATTGTATTTGTGTGTGTTGTTTGAATACAATAGACTTTACATTGTATTCAGTATAAAGGATTTGTTTTTTAATAGTTTACTGTCACCTATCAAACTCCCTAAATCCAAATATCCGTACCTGATGTCATAGAGGAATATTCTTGTCATTTTAAAACAGATACAGTATAGCATAAGAATATTATCAGGAATGAAAAGATCCCGTTATAAATCGCTTTTCAAAAAATCATAAGCCACATAATAATTGAGAAGTACTTAAATACTTAGTCTTAAAGTTACGTCATTATCCTTGATCGTACCGATTCTTTACGTCATTATCCTCGATCGTACGATCCTTTTGAAATGCTGAACTAATTTGCACATAGGACTTTTAGAGTTTTAGTCATATAGTGTTGAAACTTAACGTCTTTTTTTTTTTTTGGACAGTTACTTGCTTCCTTCTGTATCCGTTTTCAATACTCAAAACAAAAGATCTCGGTAATCCTTTTGGGTTCTGTAATAACTATGGATTCAACCAATAAGTTTACAGTTGAACAAACAGAATGTGTAGAAGTATAAAGTTAATATCACTTCATACACTCAAAGGCATGACACACAATGTACGCACTTTGTACACTCAAAGGCATGACACACAATGTACACACTTCGTACACTCAAAGGCATGACACACAATGTACGCACTTCGTACACTCAAAGGCATGACACACAATGTACACACTTCATACACTCAAAGGCATGACACACAATGTACACACTTCGTACACTCAAAGGCATGACACACAATGTACGCACTTCGTACACTCAAAGGCATGACACACAATGTACACACTTCGTACACTCAAAGGCATGACCAAAATGGCAGCATGAACATCTTTTGAAGTTTTATTTATGAAATAATCTAGGTATGTAGTATTTAATGCTGAAATATCAGTTCTTCAGTATTTTTGTGTACAAAAAATAGAATTAATATAATGATTCTTAATTATATGTTGAAAGTTAGTTTGCAAGTGAGCATTCAGAGTGACCTCTATACTCACAGGTCAGCAAAGGTCTTAGTACATAATTTTATATCTGAATGTGTATGAAAATGTGTTTTTAAAGAATAATAAGTAAAAGCCCCCATATTTAGGTATTTTCTCGGTGGGTAAGGCAGCATCTCATCCCCCTGCTCTTGCTGTATTAAGTCACACACCCGAAGGAGCACAAGAAACAATAGCCTGGGTTGGCAAAGGAATCGTGTATGACACTGGTGGTTTGTGTATCAAAGCCAAGGTAAGACTTGTGAATGGTTTGTTTTTATGATTATTCTGAACCAATCATAACAGTTAGTGTTAATTTGTAGTGTTAATTTTAAATAAGTAATACAAAGTTACTCACCTCTTTTTCTTCTAAACAAGATTTAAGATGTGTTTTAAGCTTTCTTTCTGTTCAGCAATGAAAGATAAAATAGAGTGTTTATCATTTCATTCTGGACAAGACTTAACCAACCTGTTTAATTATCTTCTAGATCTGGAAGAAAGATTTACTAACCTGTTTTTTTTTACTTAGACAAAATGAAGGTTTTACTCACTATTTCATTTTATTCTAGTCTGACACGAACTCAATTTATTTTTATTATAGACTAAAGTTAAAGCTATACGAACCCATTTTGTTTTATTATAGACTAAAGTTAAAGCTATACGAACCCATTTTGTTTTATTATAGACTAAAGTTAAAGCTATACGAACCCATTTTGTTTTATTAT